ATAACCCGCCTCTCTTTTTTCATAATTGAGGTGTGCTCTTGATACGGCCAACCGGAAGGCACGCACGTGTGCCTTTGGATCGAAGTTACCTGAATATTCGAAGAATTTGATCTTACCGACGTCGTGTAACCTCACACTGGTTATTCGGTTTGTGAATGGAGTTCGACGAGTCTCCTCAATAACGTTATCGATATCGTGGGCTGAATTTGTTGCCATATGCACGATGGCGTACGTGTATCCTTTTGAGTTTGGCATCGTTCTTTTCGACAGAGCTTCTGAATGCTCCTGCTTGACTTGGAGATGTTTGATCGTCTCCATTTGGATTCTCGTTCAACGATCTGAAGGGATCGTATGCCAAGATGGGATCTTGTGGTGCCATGGACCCTGTTCGCTGAGATATGTCGCCTCCAAAGGAGAATCGGTCATCTTGAGCTCGATGTTGCGGCAGAGATGTTTCTGCTGGTCTGTTTCGAGTTGGGATCGGGGTGGTCTTGAGGCCCTGCATTTCATTTTCGACCTCACCATGACCGTTATAATCCAGACTTCGATAGATCGTCCCTTCTAGGGAGCCCGTCGCGAGTTTTCCCCCATGTAGCTCCCTGATCGGGCGCTGGCCATCTCGGGGGAGGTGAAGGCTCCGCGGTTTTGAAGGAGTGGTGTTCGCAGGGATGGATCCGAGTGTTGTCGGACTCTTTCCATGAGATTTGCTCGGTATTCAGCGAGTTCCCTCTCGGCTTGTTCCAGGGGGTTAGCGATGGTTCACTAAGCGATCTCTTGGTCACGAGATTTATCAATGAGCGTTGAAACCATTCCCCTGAGTTCCCCAATCTCTTCCCGAGTTTGGGCTAAAGTGGGCTGGAGATCTCGGTCTCCCTGTTCGGGTTGGATCTTTGGGTGTCGTTCTGTTCGTTGTGCGATTCCAAATTCGAGATCCAATTCAGTCGGCTAGGGGGTTTCGATTTGAGGCCGTACTCCTATTGGTGATCAAAATTCCAGTTGGTGGAATTTGTTGATTTTGCGTCGCATCGGTGGCTTCGTTATTGAATATGGAATTCGTTACAAGGTAGTTAACAAGATCGAGAACAACAACGAAAAGTAAAGGTTGTAAACGAACTAGAAATCTATGGAGTGAGGTCGATGTGATTACCGATATGCTCTAGGGTTTTTCTGTGTGCTTTGTGCTATGTTCTAGCTCCCTTACAAAGCTCTCTCCTCTTCTAACTGCTTTCATGATTTTTGGGATAACATTTCGACCTTGTTAGGTCCGATCGACGTCGAACTCATGATAGATTTGGGCCTATTTAACTAGGTGCTGAAATTGAGTCCAACAACAGACGCTTAACAACGAAACGCCTTTCCTTATTAATTCGTCATAATAAGACAATTATGATGAATTAACAAGAAATTTGACCCTCGTAGAAAAAAAATTGTTTTCCTGAAGTGTCGAACTGTGAATAAAATACTTAACACAATTTTTAATATTTGATTAAGCCATCGCATCTTCCACATTTAGAAGAACACCCTATTTAGAAAATATTTAGAAAAAACCCTATAACTGATTTTTTTTTAGAAACTGTAAGAAATAAGTGATAAATCTAATTTATTAAAATAAATGTACAAATTTAAATTAACCCTTAAACTTGCACAATATTTATAATTCAATGTCACTGAAAATTAAATAATCCTACATTTAAGTAATCATTGTATTTTTCTTTTTTTATTTTATTAAATCTTTTCATAAATAAAATTTAGCTAAATTCTTATGATCAATATATTTCCTAAAATGATTTAGCTAAATTTTAGAAAAATTCAAATTTAAAAACATTTTTAATTATATAAAACAGTATTTCTCAAGTATCATATAAACTTTACATATTTAGTTTATAAGGTTTAAAATATTTGTATTTTAACTTTTTAAAAATATATGTTTAACTATTATCATTAATTATTTTAAACAATAAAATCTATTATCGCTAAGATTTAACTATTTTTGAATTACTTGTAGAATAATATAGATTGTTTAATCTAAATGTTGCCTAAAATATGTATATTTCAATTATTTCTAATATATATTTTTTTATTCATTCAGTTACGATTAATTATTTTTCAGCAATAAATTTGTCTATATAAAATTTTAAATATCATAAAATTCCTAATAATATTTAATGTTTATAGTGCATATTTTTTATCTGATATATCTAAATCTCGACATATGACTTATATATAATCAAAATATTTAGAATATTATATAGTTGAGAAACAATTTCATGTTAAAAAGACATTACTCAAACATATCAATGGTTTAATTTTTGTCGGAAATTTAATATAGCGCACATGTTAATATTTATTTTCAACATATAAAATATTTCACTATGATGTTTATAAAAAAATGAAAATATGATAAATATTTAAAATATTAACTAATATATATTTAAATAATATTTTTATATATAAAAATGAAAATAAATATCCGGATGGACTGCGGATCAAACTCTAATAAATATTCTAAGCAAAAAGTTATATATATATATATATATATATATATATATATATATATATATATGTATACTGTATTTGGCATCATATTTAAGTTTCAATATTTGATATCCACGAAATACTTTTCAAGTTTTGGCGTTCATATAAGATATATCCGTTCTGCTTTAATAATCAACATTGAAAATCAAACAATACACGTTTTCTCAGCCCTACGGCCTACTAATTTTAGTGTTGAGAATAGTTAATTGGTACTCAATTTGTACCTGCTACTTACTAAGTACTCCCTCCGTTTTTTTATAAGTAGTTTTAGTAAATGTTTTTTTTTTTTCCAAATTATAAGCAGTTTTTAAATATTTAGACAAATTTTACTTTTATTGAATATGATATATCCAATCAAATAATATTGATTTATTTATGATTGGTTAAATTATATTGAATTTAATATATCAAATATTATTTTAAAAACAGTAATAACTTTGTCTTAATATTTGTCCATTTAACTAAAACTATTTATAAAATAAAACGGAAGGAATGTTTGTTATCGGAAAGTCGAGTAATAAGTATCTAGTTTTTATTTTGCAAGTACAAGTTAACTATGAAACTTCTTTATTTTTGTAACTATTTAATTCCTTTACTTATTATGCGTGTTCCATATAAAATTTATACATAATATTCACTAAATATGTGTTGTTAACATTTATATATGTATAACATTTGTGATTTAAAATTAAATATCTTATTAAAATATTGAAGCTTAATAATGTAATTTTCAATTCAAAGTTTATTGTATTTTGTGTTTTAAATATTTCAAATATTTGTTATTTAAATATATATTTAAGTGATCGAATATTTTAAATTTAAATAATAGATTGAGTAAGTAATGAAACAATTCAAGTAACTTAAAAGTATTCAAAATTTTGACAAGTACTTGTCATAGCAAGTACTCATTCTTAGAGCATTCGCAATGGCGGATCCTTAGAGGAGTCCTTAGGAAAAAAAGAAAAAGTGGTATTTCGGATTATATAAAGATATTTCAGATTTTTTCTTTAAAAACAAAAATTGACCACACACGGACCGCCACGTGGGCAGTGAAACCCGCGAATAGTGTAAGGATCAATCCTTACATAAAGATTTTAAGGATAAAATCCTTAACTGTTCATGAGATCCATTGATTATAAAATTAACTAGATCATAACCCGCCCGACTGGGCGGGTCTTTGTTTTTATGGTATATATAACATTTCAAAATTATTATTTAATGGTTCCAATTTTACTAAGTAATAGTCTACTGTTTAAATATTGTATTTTATCACTGTATTGTGTAACATGGGCGTCGTAAAATGTTGTGACCCGTAAACATTTTAGTAATAGTTTATAAAAAAAATTTTTGGCTAAATTTGGTGCAAAGATATATACACTAAATAATTTAGTCAAATTGTTAAGTTAATTTTTTAATGAAGAATTGGAAGGCTAGTATATCACTGTTAAAAACTTATAACAATAGTCAATATAAATTATATCAATAATATATATATTATTCTTGATTTATTCTAAATACATTTAAAACATGAATACATATATATATAAATAATTTTCAAAAGTAAAGTAATATCAATGATAGAAAACCCAAAAACAATAATAATAGTATTTTGGGCCGCAATAATCTTTACTTTAATAAATAAGCTCATTAGATTTGTAGGCTATCCTTGTTTCCAATCATCATAATTTTAAATATTTTCTATTCATGTTTCCAAACACTTAACTTTTTGTACTTCAGCTTTAATAGTATAGATATTTTTCTAAGGATTCTTCCTAAAGATCCGACATTGCGGATGGTCTAAATCAGTCGGGTACAAATAGAAAATTTAGCTACATGAACATATATCAAACCTATTATCAAGTATCCGAAATTAAGTGATACTTATCCCGTGTCCACTCATTTTGGATATTTGCTCCGTGCTTAGCTTTATCTACTATGAAAAAAGAAATATAACAATATTCTAAAATCAATTATTATTTACTTCTTGACAATAATTACTCTTTTTCGACAATAGTTAATATATATATATATATTATTTGAAGTATTTATTTAAGTTTTAAATATTTATTTTAGATAGCATATCAACATAATATATGTAAATGAATATTTGAAATACTTATTTTGATTTCAAATCCTTATTTTATTCATATTTCAAAGTTTAATTTTAAATACTAATTCAAATTTTAGATTGGAGTTTTTTCAAATCCGCTCGAGCTTAGCTAATAATACTTTGGATCCGGATATGTTATATATCGTCATACAAGATCCATTCGAGTATTTTACATTTACGATTCGATAAACATTTTTGTGTTTTTATTTTAATTCAGGTTCGGTTCGAGTTTGGTTCAGATCTTGTGTTCTATGTTTTCGCCCATACATGCCTACTTGAGTCAGCTTTTCTGATGACTTATTTATTTTTGTTTTTGGTTGGTTGTGCAGAATACGCTGATTCAGATGGTCAATTTATGATACCATATGATCTTGGTACGATCTTATCTGCAACCGCTGAGTTTTCGTCTGAAAATAAGCTTGGCCAAGGTGGATTTGGTGCGGTCTATAAGGTAGAAATATTTTTTTCAAATAATAGTATTGAGATCTTTGTCAATGTCTTGGATGAGTAACAAATCTTGAGAACCGGTTTCAGGGGATACTACTTAATGGGAAAGAGATAGCGGTGAAGAGATTAACCAGAGGTTCAGAAGGAGGTGTGGAGTTTAGGAATGAGGTTTCACTCTTGATAAGACTGCAACATAAGAACCTGGTTAAGATTCTTGGTTTTTGTAATGAAAGAGATGAAGAGACTCTTGTCTACGAGTTTGTCCCCAACTCAAGTCTTGACCGCTTTATCTTCGGTGAGACTGCGAAAGACAGCTCTATTTTCTATAGATTTAGAAACTCTTAGCTATAAAAGTGTTGCTTTCATATCTACAGATGAAGAGAAGCGTGCACTACTTACATGGGAAGTGAGGTTTAAAGTTATAGAAGGCATTGCTCGAGGCCTTGTTTATCTCCATGAAGATTCTCAGCTGAAGATTATTCACCGAGACTTAAAGGCAAGCAACATCCTTTTAGATGAAGAGATGAACCCTAAAGTTGCAGATTTTGGGACAGCCAGGCTGTTTGACACCGATGAGACTCAAGCTGAAACAAAAAGAATAGCTGGAACCCGGTAAAAGCATATCAATCAACTTAGAAGCCTCGTAAATATGCTCCCCATCAGTTAAGTTATAATAGTTCCATATATGCAGTGGATATATGGCTCCTGAGTACCTGAATCATGGGCAAATCTCAGCTAAATCTGATGTATATAGCTTCGGTGTGGTGCTTCTAGAGATGATCAGTGGTCGAAGAAATAATACCTTTGTGGGAGAAGGAATTGCAGCTTTTGTAAGTTTCTTCTCCCATCAGTCTTCTTGGTACTTCATCTACTATCCTAAACTAATATTTTTTCTTCTTATTTAGGCATGGAAGAGATGGGCTGAAGGAAGGCCTGATATCATAATTGATCCTTTATTGGTAGAGAAGCCGAGTAATGAGATCATTAAGCTGATCCAGACTGGTCTGTTGTGTACTCAACAGAATCCAACAAAGAGACCAACCATGAGCACCGTAATAGTTTGGCTTAGGAGTGAGGTCATCACCATTCCTTCACCTAAGGCTCCTGCTTTCACAGTGAGTCATTCTCAATCTGAAGATGGTACGACGTCAATGAGCAATGTCTTGACGGAGTTGAGTTGTCGTTGATTTACAAATTGGTAATCTATATGTTGTTTTTAAGGTAGTACATAATGATTTGATCAAAAAAGGTAGTACAGCATGTTCTGATTTTAAAGAAAAAAAAAGAGTTATAATTGTATTGAATCGAAAAATAAGAGAATAGCAAAAAGTATGAATAAATAAAATCTAGAAACCTCTACAAAGAAAAGATTATATTAGCAGAAGCTAGAAAATGATTTTAACTGTTTTGCAACCAAGTCTGGTGACAAGTCTGTTGGAACTCTGTTTTTAGAAGCTGATGTTTTCTGATTTTCCGGCGACATTTCCGACCAAACCGGTGGTCGTTCCGGTCAGATCATCAGCTCGTTGTAAAGCATGTAAAGAGTACTACAATGTGGTATACACACTTTAAAACATATAAAATTGAATAAGAAATGAAGTTTTGAAATTGGTATCTTGATGGCGAAGAAAACTCAAAACCCAGATTTTTGGTTTGTTCCACGTCGGCCAAAGAGGAAGAAATGGAGCAATATATATATGCTCAAGTGTTAGGAGAGTGTAAACAACTCAGGGAGTGAGATGGCTCCTCACGCGCGTTGCCGCCGTCTGGCCGGTTCGGTTTGGGTTTGGGCTTGGGTGGAGGGCCTTTGGTCCGATAAGAAATTAACTTTTTGGACCAAGTTAAGCTCAATGCTTTTCCACTTAAACTTAAAAAAAAAAACAGCATGCAAATTTATTCAAAACGACAAGTAGTTTGTCTAACAAATAAAAAAACGTCACACAGTTTATCCTGTCAGATATTTAAATGAGAAAAGAGAAAGTTTTGCGAAAAAAGATCTCACAACTCAACCTCCCTCGATCTCCGCGAGATTCTTGCCCACGTGCAGCAGTTGTAACGGGAAGCGGCTCTCGTCTTTCTCTTTAAATAAATCCGCTTCCTTTTCTTCATGTTTCAACTTTTTCAAGCAAGAAAAAAACCAGCAAAACTCCCAGAGTAAGTTTAGAGAGTGTTTAGTAGAAATATTAGTTTGTCAGAGATGAATTCACGAGTGAGTGCGTGAATCGTGTGTCATGGTTTTATCCATCGACTCTAATTCGTACAAGTCTGTCTCACTGCGGAGAGAATATTAAGAGTTAAGGAAATAGATTCGTCTCGACTCCATGCCGGTTTTTGAAAAAATATTTTCCTAATCGGTTTCTTTTTTTTTTTTTTTTTTTGAATGAATTTTAAATTGTTATTCATCAAAAAGCCTGTTTACAACTGGTGTGAACCTTATTTACAACATGTCAAAACCATACCCAAATCCAAACTACTTTAAACTCTTGTTTGAAACCAAACTTGTAGCGCACTCTCCATTCCCTTGACCCCCTTCATATTCAAAAGGCTGAGCTTATTTCGAATACCTTTGTCCGTAAGCTTCTTAATGGCAAGGATCTCAAGAGGCTTTTCCCCATGTCTGATCCTATTTCTCTCCCTCCAGATTGCATAGACAGCAGCTTGAAAAGCATATCTAGTGCAATATAACTTCACCTTATCTCCTCTGCCCTTCGAAATCAATTGAACAATGGAGGACCAGACATTAGAGTAGGAATTAACAAGGATACCTCTAGTAAGATGACTCCACAGCTGAGAAGCAAAAGAACACTCAAAAAACAAGTGATTTCGGGTCTCAGAAGCAGACTTGCATAGCACACAAGTAGTGTCAACCCCCCGACTCCAAACAGAAACCCTATCCATGGTAGAAAGTCTGTCCAACATAGCTAACCAGGTTACAAATGCAAACTTTGGGGTAGCCGTGGAAAACCAAACACCCTTCACCCACACTACTTGGTGAGACTGAGTCACTCTAATCAACCTCAAGGTTTCACTCGTTGAGAAGTTAGCCCTGAAACCAGAGTTTCCTCTCCAGAGACTAACATCATCCCCCCCCCATACTGAATCCTTTCCCTCACCAACGTTAACTCCGGTTCAATCTCATTGAGAATCACCGTACGATGACTCTTTCTTCGATTCATACTAAGAGCAGCTTCAGCAAGAGTAGCATTCTTCCTTATACCCAAATCAATAATACCTCTTTCACCAAGAAGCTCCATCATCCCACCTTTAATGGACCATACATCGTACCAGAACGAAATGTGACGGCCATTACCAATCTCAATCTTATAAAAAGATTTTGCAAGGAGTCTAAGCTTTAGCATCTTCCTCCACATCCATGATCCAACTTGAGTATTGACTTTGATTTCCCAAAAAACTCTTTTTTCAATAAGTTCACTCTTATCCATCTCCCCCAAAGAGAGTCTCCTGCAAGCATTCTCCAGATAAGTTTCAGCCCATAGACAGTATTTACCTCTTTTAACGCACGCAGACCCAACCCTCCCTTTGTTTTTAGTTTGCAAATCTCTCTCCACGAAACTTTAGCACCAGTTACTTTTAGCTCAGGTCCAGTCCACAAAAAGGAAGCACATAACTACTCTAATTCTTTGATACACTTGCTCGGAAGTCTGAACACAGAGGCCCAAAAATTGATCATGCTAATAAGCACAGAGCTGAGCAATTGAAGTCTTCCCGCATATGACAAATACCTACAGGTCCAAGAACAGATTTTGCTTCTAACTCTCTCCACCAAAGGTAAATAGTTAGGACGTCTCATGGCTTGTGTCATCAAAGGAAGCCCCAGATATCTGACAGGGAGAGAGCCCTCAGCAAAGGGGAAATTCGCCAATATTCTCCTCTTAACCCCCTCCTCAACTCCAGCCATATAAACAGTGGACTTCTCAATACTGATTCTTAACCCGACCACCGAGCAAAGTTCCCAAAAACCGACAGGGCTCCTTCAATAGAATCCTGAGATCCCTCCACAAAAACCATCAAATCATCAGCGAAACATAAATGAGTTAGAGCAAGAGAGTGACACCGAGGATGCATCCTGAAGTTCTTCTCCCTCGCAGCCTTATCGATCTTATGAGATAACACATTCATACATAATACGAAAAGATACGGAGAAAGAGAGCAGCCTTGCCTCAGACCCCTCCTGCTCTGAAAATACCCCCCTAGCTCTCCATTCACTTGGACAGAGAAAGAAGGAGTAGAGATACACAACCTTATCCAGTGAAGAAATTTCTCTGGAAACCCCATTGCCTCAAGACTCCGAAGAACAAAACTCCATTGAACAGAATCAAATGCCTTCGATATGTCAATCTTCATCACACATCTAGGAGAGACTGTTTCTTTGTGATAGTCTTTAACCAGCTCCGAAGCAAGTAAAACATTCTCCATCAGAAGTCTACCTTTTATAAATGCTGACTGGTTTACAGTAACAATCCTCGGGAGAATCTTCTTAAGCCTGTTTGCTATGATCTTCGAAACCACCTTATATATAACATTGCAACAAGCGATTGGCCTAAAATCTCTCATCCCTAATGAGTTAGATTTTTTAGGAACCAGAGCCAGGATTGTAGAATTTACCCCCTTAGGCAGAAAACCAAACCTGAAGACTGATTGAACCGCTGTGATGAAATCATGAGCAACAATAGACCAGGTAGTCTTGTAAAATTCACAAGAAAAACCATCAGGCCCCGACGACTTGTTTGATGGCATTGCGAATAATACCTTGCTGATTTCCTCCCCAGTAACCTCAGCATCTAGAAAACTACAATCTCCAGCAGAACACCGAAAATCCAATAAATCCTTTAGCTCCTCAATAGTAGCACCAGAATAATCTTCAGGAGTTTGATTTAGGAACTCTGAAAAAAACCTGACAGCTTCATCTTTGATATCCTGTTGCTTCTTGACAATAAGACCATTCGGACACCTTATCTCTCTCATGGTATTCTGTGCTTGCCTAGAGCTAATGGCATTGTGAAAAGTTTTGTTGTTTTGATCTCCCACCTCCAACCAATGAAGCTTTGCACGTTGTTTCAGAAAATCCTCTTCCAAACTTGCAACATGAAGCCATCTTTCATAAGCTACTGCTTCCTCCTGAATAAAGCCTTCACATGGGTTAGCTAAAGTAATCTGTTGCTTCTCACATAAGATCTCATGAGCCTCCTTAGCTTTTTTCGTCAAATTACCCAGCTTCGATTTACCAAGTTCCCTGATGAGAGGTTTAAGATTCTTTAGTTTTTTTGAGAACCTGAACATGACTGAGGTCGAGTGGAAAATTCTTGGAGTAGCATCCCAAAACTCCTTAACCAAAGGGAGAAAAGCTTCCAATTTCCCAATAGCATTCACATACTTGAAAGGTCTTCTTATCTTCTCTTCAGGAGGGAAAATTTGAATCTTACAATGTAGGTGATCAGAACAACCTCCTGCCTCAAAAACAGAGTAGGCACTTGTGAATCTCTGCAACGCTATGTCATTAATTAGGACCCGATCAAGTTTTTTGCATATAACTCCTTCTCCTCTCTTGTTGCACCAAGTAAAAAGCGGACCCTGATAACCCAAATCAGAGAGCTTACAATACAGAGCCATCCTCTGAAACTCTCTCATACCACCTGAAACTCTACCAATCTCCATAAAGCTTGAACTTTCAACACCCTCCAAAATCTCATTAAAATCACCGACAATCATCCACGGCTTACTATTGAACATAGCAGAGTCATGATGATGGCACAAATCTTCCCATAACTCCTTCCTTTCCTCTGCAAGATTATTAGCATAAACACATGAGTAGAAAAACTCCTCTCTCCCCGGTAACCCAACTGAACAAGTGATAATTTGTCCTGATTTGAAAACAGGAGTAACTCGCACATCGTCTCTCCACACAAACCAGATCCGACCACCCCTACTGTACTCATAGTTTGTTAGATAAGACCAACCTTTAAACACCTTTTTAAAAATATTCTCCGACTTACTCTCCTTCACCCTTGTTTCCAAAATACATCCAAAGCTCATATTATTTCCCCGAACCCACTCTTCTACAACGGAATGTTTCAAAAATTTGTTAAATCCCCTCACATTCCAGAAGAAACTCCCCATGTTTTAGTGTTTACGTTGTGGCCTTAAGCTCCTCCCTGGATTAACATCC